TTTATAGAAGTTTACATTTGCCATAGAATTCCTTTCTTAGCTCTCAATCTTAGGCTTTTTCTGGGTTGGTTCCTCTTTTTGGGTCATGATAGGTGTGAAGCCCAGCCCACATGGGATATAGGTGAAGTTAGGCTCGATAGTGGCTACGATTAAGTGGGGGGACTTAGGGCCAGGAAAAATCCTTTGACCTTGTCGACCAGGGCCATGGCTACACTTGAGGTGGTGTGTTGGGCTGGGCCCAGCCAGGGTTTTCTACCTTTCATAATCCTTCTATGCATGCTTAGCTAATGGATTAAATAAATTAAATCAATATAATTTCATAATTAATCTTATATTTTTACATCTTGATTATTTTTCTTTGATCACAAAAAAATTCCTTTTGGTAAAATATTACATATTTTACAACACACACACACACACACACTGAGTGTTCAATTTTACCGTTATCACATAAAAATTCCTTTTGATAAAATATTAAAACCACACTAAGCGCTCAGTTTTACTGTTACCAAACTATAGTGTAGATGCAATCTTGAGAGTATGTTCCAAAGTTAATGATCAATGGCTACCTAAAATACCAATATCTTAGGCCTAGAGCCCACTAATTAAGGCAAGGGTCCATAACTCTCTTATGCTTCAGAGTCAAATCGCTGGTAAGGAGTATATATATTGCTATGATGGCTATCACAATCTCTTAACTTATTGGCAATCATGTTCAATTCTTTGCAAATTGAGAATCTGTTAGGAATTTTGTAATTCTAGTATTGTGATTGACAAATTTTGTAGTATAAACTTATTACTCAATGTAATTTGACGATTATATGTTTAGTGAGTGAAATAGAAATATAGTAGTTAGGTGATTTGAATGTGAAAACAATATTGCTTGATGAAGTCTACATTAAAAGGGGAAAAAAGGTTCAAGATCTTCTACAAAGAGTAAATCAGTCCAAGAACTTATTCAAAGGGAAAAATAGTTCAAAGTTCTTCAACAAAAGGCATAACAGTCCAATAACTTTTTCGAAGTGCAAAATAGTCCAAAGTTCTTCTACAAAGGGCAGATTAGTCCAAAGATCAACTTTTAAAGGCAAAGATATAGTCTTCTCAAGTATGGACTTAAAAGGTAAGAATCACACTTAAATTTCATCTATCACCATCTAGGTACATGCATACAAGTTATTCATTAGCAAATGGTATTAGTTGCATGGTAAACCCTATGGTATTTTTATTTATTTAATTTATATATATTTTGGAAAAAATGGTTTTCATAAAATATATATATATGTAATATATTTATATATATTTTCTTGAAATTATATAGAAGGTGAATATTGCTTAGGATTAATTTTGCCAAGTTGCTAATATTTTCGATATTGATTTTTAGCATATCCTTGAGCATTACAGAAAAGTTTTTCTAATTGAGTTTACTTATCCTCTTCTAATGATTTAATAGGCAAGACTAACATGTTTTTCAGCAGGAAAGACCGGTACTTTAATTCTTCTAAAATTGTCTTTTCTACGTATTTTATTTTATTAGTAACAAGTATATAACTTAAGTTTACTTAGAGACCAAGACTTTTGACTAGGGAACAAGTATTGTTCTGTTTATATACAAGGTCTGAAATTATAAACTGTGTGGCTCAAGTTGTACAAAAGTGTGCTTCTTAGATATACATCCCCATAGAGCTTACTACCACCAAAAACATTATTTGTTTATTTGTTTATCCACGAGTGTTTTGTGTGAGAGATTTACTTGTGGCTATCCATGAGAGAGTTTGTGTGAATGATATTTCTTATATGAGTTGAGGGCTACACTTGATATATTGAACCATATATTCCATATCTTTTTATTTTATGCGTTTTACATATATATTATATACTTTACATTAGATATGATGACTATAATGTATTTATTGTGTTGATATATATTCTTGCGGTACGAGCTGAAATTCAACCTCAACACATGGCCACGAAGTGCTAGAATCCAAACCGAACCAAACTAAATTGTGAAATGGCGGGTAGATTGGTTATCAGAACGATTCAAAGATGAAGAAGCTGTGCATGATGGGATTGATGTGGATCCATGGGATCATATAACAATTAGGTGGATAGACTGGACGACAATTGAAAAGATCTTCTTGAGTGATGCAGTAGGGAATTGGGTTTAAATTGAACTTGGAGTAAATCAATTGTATGTGAACCATCATTGAGGGATTTGTTGTCTTGTTGAGTCTGGAGGTAGACTAGTGTTCATCGTATTGAACTAGACTAGTTGTACTCTCTTTCTTCATAGTGAATTTCTTGTCTAAGTCAAGTCCCAAGGTTTTTTGATCTACCTTTAGGGTAGGTTTTTCCTCGTATATCTGGTGTACAAGTCTCTTTACTTTTTAACTTTACTGCATATATTAATCGCTTAATATTGCTATGTGATTAATGTATGCTTAGATGATTATCATGTTGAAATCAATTCACGTATGTGCTTAAGTGTTTAAAGCAATTAACTAGATATAGCCTATTGCTATTTGGATGGTTAAATCAATTAGAGGTTGATTAATTAATTATTTGTTTGTTTAGTAAACCAAATTTGTTAAAATCTGATTTTATTTATTTGGGGGTCAAGTGCTCGATCTACATTGACTATTGAATACAAATTAAATTAAATTCACCAATCATGTTTGAATTCATAAATATTAGATATATTATCTTCCGTATTAAGTTGATTAAAGAATTGCGTGAATTTATAACTAAGTCAGATTTAGCCTAAAAGTGGAAACTAACCTATTACCCCCCTCTAAGTCAATTCATTGCGTTCTTGATTCTGATTGGCTATAATTTTAGTTGACATCTATTCAGTTAAACTCACTTTTGAGCTATTTGATAGAACCAATATCATTAGAGTCCATCCTCTATTTCCGTATTAGAACATATTTACGATAATGCGGTGCATCTAGATTCATTGTGGCCCGTGCACGAACACCCATTATACACATGAATCAACCCACACAGTTAGAAGACACTTCATGTTAGTATTTATATGCCCTGACATAACGAATTCTTATTTAGATTGTAAAAGCATTGTTCCTTATCTGAAATAAGATTTATACTTTATACAATTGGTGAATACAGTGTATTATGTATCGATTCATTATGGAATTGATAGTGTCCACTTGATCGCAAAGGATATTTATATGTTTGTGATTACGTTCAATACACGAATATAAATATAAATCGTAATTAGTTCATAATCAGTAATTAAGGATAAACTCTTAACTAACTAAAATTTGAACCGGATCTATGATGGGTTGCGATATATTATGAGAACCATCATATGCAACCCATCACTATCATGGCATTTGACTCTCAAGTATGAGAGAAGTATATATTTTTATATTAATTAATAATTATTTTGATTGGTTTGGCAGAACCTTTGGGCTCCATGGACCGACATTTTGTATAATTATCTAATTAATAGTTATAGGACTATATTCTCAATATTTGCATAAATGCTACTTGAATTAACAAAGTAAAATCGAATGCCTTTGTGTGTTTTGGATAAAATAGTTTTCTATGTATTTATTTATTAAATTATTATTTTTTCCAAACAAATGTTTATTGTAATCAAGAATGAAATAATCAAGGAATCAAAATAAATATATTAATTATGCGATCGGATTAATGACTTTAATTATCTGACATTTAATTAATTATGCATCGGGTCAAAGTACAACATTGACTTAGTGATTATTTATTATTTGATTAGAATTCCATTAATTTCTTTTGTGGAGTAGAAATTAATTTATGAATTAATTAAACTGGGTCTATGGTAGTTGGACAGGTCAATTATTAATTCATTGTAGCTAAGAAAGTAGTAAACCCAATGGATTCTCACCCATAGTCCATCTTGATATTGGAGGCCATAAGATTGAAACTATCCTTTTATTTTTAGAGATTGAGAATTACTAATTCCAAGACATGTGCCAATATATGCTACGTGCCAATGTAATGAAAATAAGTCTTGGAGCACTATTTGTGTGTGAAGACAATATATTTTCTCTCTCTACATATTAGGGTTTAGTGTTCTCATCTCAAAGAAACTCCCATAGGCTTAGCCACCAAGGTTTCTTGGAGACAAATGGGTGAATCCTAAAAGCATGACCATCATCATCAAGAAGGAGGTTTAAGGAGGAAGAATCTAGCTAAATGGATCTTCAATAATGAAAACATTCACTTTGGAGGAGAGAATAAGTCTTGATTCTAACTCTAAATGCACGAATCATATTCTCTCTACACATGAATCAAGATTTAAGGAACAAAAACCCTAAAAAAGTTTTAAAAAAACTCAATTTCCCTAAAACTTTTTCTTTTTCTTTTTCTAAATAAAAATAAATAAATAAATAAAACAAAATAGTATAAATACAAGAATGGGGTCAAGCCCTCACAAAAAAACAGCACCATAAAAAGGGAAGCCCAAACAAAGGCAAGGAGAAACCCTTGCAGAAAACAACCAAAAAGATGAATTAAATGATGTCTTGGAGGCATACCCCCAAGACATCCATGACATCCCAAACAAAACACCTAATCAAGACCATAGGATCTCTATGTTTAAAACACCTAAAAACATCCATGACATTCCTCTCATTCCAGATGAATTAAACACAAAGTAGCATCATTTCCCCAACACTTCATGTTTATAAATATTTTATCTTCACGTTAATTGAACTCAATGAAATTCCTAATGTTCTTAGCCATCCTTCCTTTAATTAATTATAATATATATATATAAAAGAAATATGAGGCTTTTGTTAAGTACATATCATGGTGGGTGAAATTAGTTTAGAACTCAAGATGTTTGGATTCGAAGTTTATTTTGTTCTTTTCTTAGTATCACCTCACAATCTAATGCCACTCCATGTTATATATATATATATATATATATATATATATATATATAAAGTATTACTATTAGCAATATATTGGTATTCATTGGTGTTTTCCTTTCTCACCTTTAAAATTACAACTTCGATATTGGGATCGCTCTCGTACACTTTCAGAGCCTTTTCCATTTGAGAAAACTGCACATGAAAAAAGATATATATTACATAGACATGTCATTCAAATAAAAGCATCCATTTTGTTTACATATGCATGTTTAATTAATTTTTAGAAATATATATAACATGGCTAAATAATGATATGGTAATGAGATATTTGCATTACAAAACAAGTTTAAGTGTGAATGAATTGAACACTTAAAATTTAAAAGGATATAAACAAAAAAAGCAAAAAAAACACAAATTTTACAATTACTTAGAAATTTTAGCACTTAAAATTCAGCTTCTTAAATGTTCTATATTTAAATTTTTTTTTTTTTTTTATCAAACAAAACCTAATTCTTATTTAAGTGATTATTCAGTTAAGTATATTTAATAACACAATTTAGATACTTAAAACAATTAGTTTCACCTAAAATTTTAAGTGAACATGACTTCCCTTTAGCGAACACTAAAACTTTTACGTAAATGACATTTCCTCACCTTCCATAGTAGAAGGTAGATGGTTCAAGTGGATAAAAGTGGTTATGTGAGTTTGTTGCCAAGGTAAGAATAAAACAAAATAAAAAAAAAATAAAGTATACATTTTTTTTCTCAATTTATGCTATTTGATAAAAGTAAAAATTAAATGGAGAATTTTTGTGATATTTGTATGAATTTTAAGTGGTCAATTGATATTTGATATTTCTCAATTTTAAAATTTCAATTTTTAATTGTTAATTATAAACATAGAATTTTTGTGATATTTGTTGAATTTTAAGTGTTCAACGTTTGGTGATAATTGAAGTCTCATTTACTTAAAATTTTAATTGGAATCTTTTTTCTCAACATTTTTTAAGTAGTATCTAATTAATTGTGTTATCACATGTACATAATTGTTAAACACTTCATTTATTCAAAATTAATGTGAAGTTCAATAGATTACATTGTATGAGTAGCTAAGTGAGTAATTTCATGACTAAAAAGATCTTTGTGTGAATTAAATTCAACAGAAAAAGAAAAAGAAAAGAAAACTGTGTATACTATTGAAAATCTAATATAAGGAAATGACTACCTATGGGGTAATTCAATACCAATATAATAGGATATAATGGAATATCAAAATTAAATAAAATTGTTGCAGGAAGTTGCTGGCTGCCCAACAGATTGAATTACTTAAAATTGAAAAGAAAAATAAATCAATATAAAAAATATAGATGAATGTTCATGTATTGTTCTTCATGCCATTCATTCAATATGTTCTAGTTAAATGATAAGGGAATTAGATGAAATTTCTATTAATATTGTAAGTTGGGATTCATGTTATGATTTTGAGATATGAATATTGTAAATTGGGATCCATGTTATGATTTTGAGATTGAGAATGAACTTTATTGATTAATTTGTGGGTTCTAAAATTTGTGTTCTTAATGGTTTTTGATTTTTCAAGAAAATTTTTTTTTTCAAGAAATTTTGAACGTACAACTCGTAATTAATCTTTATGGAAAATTGGTTGAAACATTCTCAATGTATAATTCTCTATTTTAAAAATAAAAAACAAAACATTAAAAATCCCTCAAAAAAAAAAAATTTTCTTTGTTATTGTGTTAAAAGGTTCATCTTTTGTATTAGATGATCAATGCTTAATGGAATGGACTTCCTTTGTGTTATGCTCTGTCTATTTCCCTTTTATATGCTTAAATTCTTATTATTTTCTCCTTTGTCAATTTGTGTCAAAAAGGGAGTGATAAAAGATGTTCCTAATGACGCTCCTTTTGTTAAAGAGGGAGATCAATATGTATATGTTTATATGCTTTTGTTTAAGTTTAAGGGGAAATTAACTCAAAGGGAGATATAACAATTTTTTTTTTTTTTTTGGTGTGGGGGGGGGGGGGGGGGCGGGATGGGGGATGTTTGAGTTTTGTAGCAAGTGCAATGTGAAGCTTTGGTTAACAACTATATGTTTTATTTTAACAAATTTACAGTTGTGTTACATGGTTTTGTCATTCAATTGTCGAAGGGGGAGATTGTGAGAAACTTAGTTTCCGTGTTGCCAAATTTCGGTGTCAAAACTTGTGAATTGAGTTGTTTTTTTCCATTGACCTTATCTTGATTTTGGAATTAAGCTAAACGGAAAGTGATTGGCACAAGCTCAATACCTATTGATTGGATTTGAACATCACTTAGAAGACGTAAGTAAGTATCCAAGCACACTTATTTTTGAATGCTTTCAAGAGTAAAACTATGTTTTGAAGACCTTGAAACATGATTTGAGTGTGTTGGGACAGTAGTAACACACGAATATCCTGATCTAATGAAAGCTACTCCCTCTGTCCCAAAAAAAAGAGTGTCATGTTTAGGGAACTATGACTCACAAACATGATACTCTTTTTGGGATGGAGGGAGTAATAAAATAATCACATACAAATATAAGATATAATGTGCTTCGGCCAAAACTTATTTACATCCACACATGAGAGGAGACTCTACTATGATTTTTAGAGAAATTACAATAATAAAGTACCAACTCCATATAAATAATTTTCACCATGTACCACTCGACGGGCCTATCTCCTTGCTACCAGTGCCACTAATGTCAACTTATTTATGTGGAATTTAGTAGTCTACTTGAATGTTGTGAAACTCAAGTACAAAGTAGGTACATGGAATTAAATGTTCAAGATCAAATATGGATAAGCTCTTGGAACTTAAAGTTAAAGAATGATTTCAATAGCAAAGGCATTGGACTTCAAATGACTAATATGAAGATCCAAATTCTAGAAGCTACATGACCATGAAGCTCAAAGCATAAACAATATCAAAGATTAGTGATAAAGTTGAAGTGGATCCAAGCCTAAGATGTTCAACCCAAAAGCTCAAGATTGAAGATCAAGAATTGGGTAGATTAGTATTGGGTGAGTGTTAGAATTTTAATATAAAGTTATTTTTGAAGTAACTTGATGTAGAACTGATTATTAAAGCGTTTATAGCCCGTTTGGACCACCAACGCGTTAAATGGGCATGCTGACAGATTTTCTAGGCTAATCCCGAAGTGTGCATTTTTAACCTGACATGAGAGTTTTTTAACTGAAAACGGCCCAACAAACAAGACTCACGTCAATTTATATGAATTATCTCTTCGTTTTGTGGATTCAAATCATCTACTTTTTGGATTCAAAGTAAACTTTTTCTTATGAACAAATTTATCGCTTCCGCTTACGTCAATTGGTATCAGAGTTTTGTCTTTTACTGGTCTAATGGCAGATGAACATGGTGACCGCAACTTCATTGGCGACGAAGATCGACAAAGAGAGGCTTTTTCAAGGGCCAAATTCCAGGCCTTTCAATAGACTACCCAACTGATGTTTCAAGAAATTTAAGCAACCTTTATTGGGCTTGCGTTGGGTCCAAATCAGAATCACAATTACAACAGGGTGCAAAATGTTGACGAAGATCACATTCATCCTTTTTGGAATCACAACCCCATCCTGCCGCGTAGGCAGCCAGCCTATAAGGAAGACTTCAATGATGATAACTACACTGAAGAGATACTTGGGGAAAATAGAGGGGCTGGAAGATATCGGGATCAAGGAGATCGTGATTCTAGGGAGTTTCGTATGAAGATGGATCTCCTCAATTTTAACAGTAATCTTAATATTGAAGATATATTGGATTGGCTGGAATAAGTTGAGAGATTCTTTGATTACATGCATATCCAAGAAGATAAGAAGGTGGAACTAGTGGCATATAAGCTCAAAGGAGGAGCTTTTGCGTGGTGGGAACAACTTCAAGTTGCTTGCGCACGGCAAGGGAAGACACCAGTACGCTCCCGACAGAAATGCAATGTTTGATAAGGGGCAGATTCTTGCCACCAGATTATGAGCAGACTCTATTCTAGAGGTATCAGGATTGCAAACAAGGAATTCGAACGGTTTAAGCCTATACAAAGGAATTCAATCAGTTGACGTTTCGAAACGACCTGAGGGAAACTGAGATGCAATGAGTTGCTCGTTATCTGAATGGTCTGCAATATGCCATTCACGATAGGGTATCAACACAGATAATTTACACTTTTGCAGAAGCCACGAATGCGGCAATCAGGACAAAATCCCTTTTAAGGAAGCGAAAACACCGGATGGTTCCAGGAATTACTTTGATACGACGCGTTTAGCGACGAACAAAGCAAAATAACCAATGTATTCTTAGCCTTCCGTTCCAGCAGTACCTGATTCGGCTAGCACCAATATTTAGTTAAAGAAGACACTAACAGCCCTTGTAGTGAGTCGGGATACATTAAAAAATAAGCCCTACGGTCGGCCAGACCCCATTAAGTTTTATCGATGTGGGAAGCCAGGACATCGATATAATGAATGTCCCTAAATGCGTTCAGTCAATTTAATAGAGCCTGGGGGGAAGAAGGATCAAGATAGAGAAGCTGGCGAAGGGTTTCCTTTAGGCGGTAAGAAAGAGGTGATCAGAGAAGATCATGGGGATCTACTCTCATATTCTCTAGTTGTACGAAGGCTGTTACTTGCCCCGAAAATGTAAGAGCATCCACAATGGCATAATATATTCTGGACACGGTGCACTGTCAATAAGAAAGTATATGATGATATTATTAACAGTGGCAGCAGCGAGAATATTGTGTCAAGGGCAATGGTCCAGAAGTTAGGCTGAAAACAGATAAGCATCCGAGTCCCTAAAAAATTGGTTGGATTAAAAAAGGGGTAAAAACAAGGGTTACAAATATCTTTCGAGTTTCCTTTTTTATTGGGAATAAGTATACTAATGAGGCATTGTGTAATGTTGTTGATATAAATACTTGTCACTTGATTTTGGGCAGACCATGGTAGTTTGAAGTCAACGACACTCCAAAGGGCAGAGATAATGTTTGCATGTTTGATAAAGGAGGGCAGAAGATTGTGTTGGGTCCTACGACCGAAGGGAATTTTTCCAAGGTTTCATAAGTCAATGAAAAATCAATTCTTTTAATCGATAGTGAGCAGTAGTTTTTAGAGGAAGCCAAGGAATCCGAACAATTT